TCTTGGGCACGCACGCACCCACGCCGGGGGTGAGTTTTAAGCCACCGGGGCCAGGACGCGAACCACGGTCGACTACGTGGGAGTCCAGCGACATAGCCATTACGCTAACTGCTGGTTCCCATTAAAAAATTTTTTTAAAGAGAGGTTTTTGCTATAAGGCGCACACACTTGCCAGAGAGACAGAGACAGACAGAAAATGAGAAATCACCCCCCAGGGGAGTTGGCCATGTCGCAATCCCTTTTCCTCCAGTCTCCTCTCGAGATTTTGGGCATGAATGCTCATGTGCCCAGAGTGAGTTTTAAGCCACCAGGTCCGGGACTCAAACCACCGTATACGACATGGGAGTCCAACAGCGTAACCATTACATCACCTGCTGGTCCGTCCCCAAACTTCTTGTGGACCTCTCCTACACTGTGGCTCACATTGTGTTTCTAGGAAAGAGCTGAGTAGGTTCATATTTAATCACTCAATATAAACAATTATTCTTTCTTCTAGAATCTTCCTTCTCTGTCTTTGCCTCAAACCTGGCCCTGCCTGAGTTTCTGGGAGTGGCCCAGTTTATGCCACTGAGCAGGTGGGGATCCACAGGGCTGCGAGTCCAGCCACTTGAATGCACATATGCAGGGTCACACCCACCCACACGTGTACTCACACATGACAAGTGACACACATAGTGAAAACACGTGTTGTTCAAGACAACCCCAGACCTCTCAGGCGGAGCACAGGGACCCTGCCACCACCACTGACAGCTGCAAGTGAGCCTGAGGACACAGCCCTTCTGGGGACAGCAACCCCAGGGAGAGGCCCACAGGACACCAGCACATGAGAACACGCCCACGGGTCGGGGTATCGGTGCAGACAAGCGGGGTTCCAGAATAAAAAACATCACCATGAGGCGGGTCACATGGAACTGTCATCGAAAGTGGCCAAATACGGGCAGTGTCATTTGGCTCAATTCCAAATGTATGGAACTCATAGGACAGAAACCCGGACCCACAGGGAGCACAGGCAGGCTCCCTCCCTGCCCCTTCTCCTTCCCTCTTGCCGCCTCCTTCCGGGGAGAAACCACCCCAGGAGGACCACAGACCGCATGGGCTCAGGGCACCATAAGCACGTCCCCAAACGTGGGCATGTCCGGGAGGGCCGCTGCCACCAGCAGTGAACTCGGGGAAGGGACCCCTACCCTCAGCCTCCCACGCCGCCTCCCGCAGGCATACCGTCACTGTCACACATGAACACACACGCTTCCCGGCCACGTGGTCACACACACCGTGGTTCCCGCGCCCCGCGCTGGCGCACACACCTGTCTCATGGCTGTGGTCCGCCCGCTCTCCTCTCCGCGCTCTCCCCGGCTCTCTGTGGCCCGGGAACTCCAGGGGGGTCATTTGAAGACCAGCCCAGCGGAGGTGGAGGCGGGACCCCGGCCTCGCCCTCCCCTCCCAGGCCTGCCGGCTGGTCGCCCTTCATCTTTCTCTGCGGCCCCCTCCTCTTCCCCTCTCCTGTGTGTGGGGTCACCCCACCTTGTCCTAGTCCTGTCCCCTGTCCCACTCTTTCTCCCCAGCTCTGCCTCCCTTCCCACTTCACTCTCCTCCCCTCTCTCCCACTTCTTCCCTCCCCTCTCCCCGTTTCTCTCTCTGCAGCCTCCCCCTCCTCCCTTCTCCCCCACCCCTCCCCGTTTCCCCCCACAGCCACACTCTTCCAGTCCCCAGGGTCGTCTTTGGAGTGGGTCCCCCAGGGACGTGTCTCGGCAGCTGGCAGAGGGACGAACGCACACACGTGCGTGCCCGTGGGTGTGGCAGTGGGTGTGGCAGCGTGTGCGCTGGCGTGGGAGGCACGCTGCCTGGAACTGGAGCTGTGAGTGAGCGTCTGTCCGTCCCTGGGCCTGGGTCTGGACGGGGCTGGGGCTCAGGCGCACTCAGGAGCCAGGTCAGGGAACCCATCAGAGAAACGGAGGGTGGGACAGAGATGGGGGACCCAGGCGTCAGCGCCTCGGGGCCACATGGGCGAGCGTGCCAGGGTTCCCATGTCCTGTCCGCGACTTTCTCTGCAAATCTGTTATTCTCTGCGTCCCTGTCTCCTCGCCCCTGTCTGTCCGTCTGTAGGTCCAGTCTCCCTGTGGTTTCTCCTCCCCACGCCCCCACCACCACCACCACACACACAAGCCGACTTCTCTCTTGGTCCGTGTCTCTCAGCCTCTCTCAACCCCCTCGACGTTCTCACTCTCTGAATCTCTCTCCCCAAGTGCCCCCTGGCTTTCTCCTGGTTTGTGTGTGTCTCTTTGTCTCTGTCTTCTTTCCCGCCTCGTCTCTCTGCATCCCTATCGCCTCTCCGAGGCGCTATCTGTGTTTCTCTGTCTCTCACTGTCTCTGCCTGTCTCTGACTCACGCTCTCTCATCCGCCATCTCTCAGTCCCCATGTGTCCCGCCCGTCCCGTCCCCTCCGCCGGCCGCCAAGTGCGCACAGTCCGGGTTTCCCGAGATCCTGCAGCGGAGGCGCGCCCGGGAGCCGGCGCGGAGGCGGAGGCCACCTCCCGGTGGGCGGGGCAGCCCAGGCCCCGCCCACCAGCCTGGCATTTGGCTGCCCGGGTGGGGCGCTGTATAAAACCAGATGCTTCTAAAACTAGAGTGTGCGAGGGAGGAGGGACCAGGGATTCAAACCCGAAAGGCTCCCGCTTCTCCCACCCTGGAGCCTGGGTCCCCAGCACCTCGCCCCCGACCCTGGAGCTCAGGCCCCCCGGCCCTCCTCCCCCGAACCCAGGGATCCAGGCCCCCAGCCCCTCCTCCCTCAGATCCAGATGTTTAGTCGCCCAGAATTGCCTGCAAGGAGGGATGGCCAAGGTCCCCAGCAGCAGGGCAAGAGCTGAAAGACAAGGCCGGGGGCTCTGGGCTGCCACAGACTGGGTGAGACCTCCAGCACCCCCACTGACAGCCCTCTCTCAGACCCTGCGCTCCGGCCATGGCTGACTTCTGGTCCCCGTCCTGGGTCCAAGGTGACCTTCCCAAGATTTCTATCATCGTCCTCCTCAGAAAACCTCAGGGCGTGGTGTACAGAAGTGAAGAGTGGGGGGATAAGCTTTTGAGAAAGGCAGAAGGGGCCTCTCCTGAACCGCAGCGAGCTCACAGAAATGACTCAGCCCTGGCCCTGCCCTGAGATGCCGGTCTGGTGGAGGAGACAGCTGTGTAAACAGGGGACCACACACCAGTGCGAGGAAGCACCAGCCCAGGAGAGAGTCAAGGAAGGCTTCCTGGAGGAGGAGATCCTGGCTGATGGGCAGTTAGTAATGGCAAGAGTAGGCATGGAAGGTGGAGTGGGAAAAGGGTCCCCGAGGCAAGAAATGGCCTGGCCACTCAGGAAAGGACCAGAAGGTTGATGTCCCAGCAATGGAATCTGCCCACGCAGAGTTTCTCTTTTGATTTTTTTTTTTGAGAGGTTTTTTTCGCTATAGGGCGTGTGTGCTCGCCAGACAGACAGAGACATAGAGACAGAAAGCGAGAAATCACCCCCCAAAGGGGATGGTCACGCCTCACTCCCTTCTCCTCCATTCTCCTCTCGGGATCTTGGGCACGCACGCACACGCGCCCGGCATGAGTTTTAAGCCACCGGGTCTGGGACGCGAACCGCAGTTGACTACATGGGAGTCCAGCGACATAGCCATTATGCTAACTGCTGGTTCCCATAGCGTTTCTCTTTTAATGTATTTTACTTGATTTTTTTAAAAATAAAAACTGTTTTATGCCAGAAGACACGTGCATGCACGGAGACACAGAACATGCATGGGCGAGCGATCCCCAGGGCCGAGTCACACTGCAGTCATTTCCCCTCAGTTCTCTGTCCCATCAGGATCCTGGGTGGTGAGGGCGGGGGCCAGGACTCAAACCCACAGGGGTCTGGCTTGCTCTTCTCAGTGCTCAACTGCCCCGTGATGGGGCCAGCTTGCCTTTCCTTCTTTAACTGGCAAGTAAAACTTACATCTGTGTGCGCTGTGTAATATGCTTGCGTTAGAATTGCGGAATGCTAAATCAAGCTCTTTCACGTGTGTAACTTGCAGGGGGTTGAGTGTCACACTCAAAAGCTAGGACCTTTCCCTGGAGTACTAGGGAGCTACAGAAGGGCTGTCAACAGGGGAGGTGCAGGCAGGGTCAGCCTGGGCTGGAGTCAACTGGATGGAGAGACCTGGGGCTGTTGGCCAGGGCCACTCACTGGGTGGCAGGGTGACACCAGCAATCCCAGTGTCTTCTCTGGGCTGGAGAGAGCTCTGTATCTGAGCTCGGAACTGTGGGGTGGCTGGAGTCCCTGGAAAGGGTGATTGAGGATGGGCAGGGGCGCAGGGAAGCCCTGAGGAGCGAGGAGCAAGGAAATGGGGGGGCCACGGGGATGTGGCGGCCCCTCCCCTGCCCCGACCTAGAGAGGCTGGTCTTCTGCTCACTTGTCTCTGGGAAACTGGGGAGGGTGGGGAGACGCTGACAAGGGACTTGAAGCCTGTGTGGTGCGTTAAATGCTTGAATCCAGGTGGACCAGCTCGTTGCTGGGTGTCCCAGGCTGGAAGGGAAATGCCATGGAGAACCCAGATACTCAGATGGCTCCCCGTGGAGACCTGGGTGCCAGACCCCTCCTCCCACCCCCGCTGTGGCTCTTTGACAGCACTGGGCGCCTTCCTGCCCCTGGAGCCTGGCGCCTGTGCCCCCCTGCTCCCGTGTGCAAGGTGAGCTCTGCACAGGAGGCCATTCCTCCCTGTTGGGTTCAAGACTCTCCTCCGGGCCTGGACTAACCCGGGCACCTCGTACAAGTGTGTTGGATGAATGAGTGAGGTGGGACAGTCAGAATGGTGGGTGGAGGCCGGAGGAATGGAGACAGCGGGGAAGGTGGGGAGCCCAGCAGCAGACCGCCCCCCCCAACGGCTCTGGGGCCACCACTCAGCATGGCCTGTCCCTGGGGACGGGATGAGGAGCTAGAAGGAGGTGAGACCTCAAGGGCCCCGGGATCAGTAAAGACCCGGATCTAGAGGCAGAGCCTCTGGACTTCCAGGAACTCAGAGCTTGGGTCACTGCCCACCACGGAGCCACAGCGGACTGGTGTTCCACTGGCTGTTCCTCCTGCACGCCAGATTCTGGGAAACAGCCAGGACTCCAAGATTCTGCCCAGGCTGGAAGGAAGACGCCCGCAATGACAGTACGTCCACCTCCTGCTGTCGCCGGGAAGCGGGGGAGTCCTCTCACAGTCCAGGCAGAAAAACTGAGGTCTGGGACCAGCAGTTAGCGTAATGGCTATGTCGCTGGACTCCCACGTAGTCGACCGCGGTTCACGTCCCGGACCCGGTGGCTTAAAACTCACGCCAGGCACGTGTGCGTGCGTGCCTGAGATCCTGAGAGGAGAATGGAGAAGGGATTGCGGCGTGGCCATCCCCCCTGGGGGGTGATTTCTCACTTTCTGCCTCTCTGTCTCTCTCTGTCTGGCGAGTGCATGCGCAAAAACCTCTAATAAAAAAAAAACTGAGGTCTGAGAAGAGTTGGTACTTGGCCAGTGAGGCAGCAGAGCCAGGTATAGAAATCAGGTGTCGGGCACTAGGTCTTTGCACCTGCTGAGCGCCCTCAGGGATGAGGGGCTGGGCTGGGGCTGGGCTCCTGGGTCTGTGGGAGGAGGGGCTGGGGCTGGGAACCTGGGTCCAGGGAGGAGGGGCTGAGCTGGGAACCTGGGTCCGGGGAGGAGGAGCTGGGGCTGGGCTCCTGGGTCTGTGGGAGGAGGGGCTGGGGGGGGGGACCCGGGGCTTGGGGGGGGGGGG